TACGCCTTAGACCACTCGGCCATCTTGCCTCGATGTTAGTTGGCTCTCACATTGCGTTCATATAGCGTTGACCAGCACCTCCAAAGCTGGCAACCCGCAATCGACGCCGCCTCGGCCTCGACACTCCGACCTGGCTGTCATGTTATTAACGACTCTATGCAGATGACTGAGAAACCTATTGATACGATTGTTGTACAGACCAGCGGCGGCAGAGCGGTCATCGAGCTCCACTCGGAGATACTGCCTTCCAGTGCTTGACGATGCTTTCAAACACCTGCATCACCACCGAAGAGTTGGTCATCAGGCTGTGGCTCGCCCCCTCGACAACATGCAGCTGGCAGTCGCGCATCTCTCTCGCCAAGCTCACCGAGCTCGACAGCGCAATCTTCTCGTCCTTGCTTCCGTGCCACACCTCGCACGCCACACCGAGGTCCGTGTAGTCGAATCCCCACGGACGCTTGCCCAGCACCAGGTTCAGATCGTCCACCAGTCCTCGAGAGCTTTCCGCGTGCGACGCCCGCAGCAGCTCCACCGCACTGTTGCGCTCCGCCTCTTCCCAATTCCCACCTCTGCCATCCGATGCGTAGAGCGCGCTGGCAGACGCCTCCATCCACGTCGCCGTATCGGCGCCAGACGACGCTTGTGACCCTGGCCGTGCTTCCCCAACACCCAGTCGCGGGCTCCTCGGCGCGGCGTCGTCGCCGCCTTGCGCTGGCAGCGTCTTGCTGGCGGTCCGTGTTCCCTCCTTTCCGAGCTTCCAATTCTGTATCCGCCATTCCGCCGCCTGCGCCGTCTTGATCACGCCGTCGGGTATGTAGCGAAGCCATCGGTAGCCGCTATCCTGCTGCATTCCCGTCCAAGGCGCCAGCAGGTGCACCGGCCCCTGCACACGCTCCGGGAACAGCAACGCCAGCGCCGCCGCAAACGGCCCGCCCGCACTGTGCGCCACCACGGCGTACTTTCCAAGCCCCAGCCGATCGGCCACTTGCTCCACCACAAAACTCCAGCCCAAGATGCTTCGGCTCTCGGGAGCTACGTGATCCGTGCGTCCGATCCCCCACCGATCGATGCACACCAGCCGCAATCCGAACAACGTCGCCAGATCGTCGTACAGACCGATCAGGTGTCGCGATGCCCCCAGCCCTAGAAACACCATCACGGGATGCCCGCTCGGCAGCCCAACATCGGCGAACGACACTTGCAGCTGCCGTGATCCGGCCATGTTGAGCATGGCCACGTGGCTCAGGCCCTTGCAGTTTGGGCCCGCAGCATCGCTCTTGCTGTCTCGAGTGAGCGGACGCCTTGGCTGTCTGTACTTTGTGCTGTCACCAGCAAGGGAAGCTTGGCGTTCCGTACTTGGGCCTGCACTTGTATGTTTGCCTGGAATGCGGAGCTGCGACAGCCCGCTCTCGATCTCGTCCACTTGCGTCCTCCTCAGTATCGTACGAGCCTCCTGCTCTATCGAGTCCTCGGAACGAGTCGAATCCGAGTCCGAGTCCGCCTCGAAGCGACGCGCTCTTCTGGCAGCCTCCGGCGACGTTCGCGCGTCGAGCTCGAATGCGGACCACGAGGCTGAGCGTTGCGGAGCGCGCTGAAGCGGCGGTACGGACAGCAGACTGCTCGAGTGTGCTCGGACTATCTCGTCGATCGACTTGACAGGCTCCTGCACTGCAGCATGTGGGCGAGCCCGCCCTAGTGCGATCGAGGATGCAGCATACGTGCTGGAAACCGACCGTCTGGAAGGATCGGCTTTGGCTACCGACGGCTTGCTTGCGTGACTCTCGTGGTGTGCAACGAGCGTGGCTCTGGGCACGTACGGCCCTGTCCGTTTCCTTTCCGGGTATCGATCATAGTAGCTCTTTCCTCCGAGTCCTGCGTCGTACGAGCTTTGTCCAGTGGCGCGCGATTGCTGGCGATGGTCACCATATGTGTCAGACGAGCTCGTACTGGACGAAGCAGTAGTGGACCGCGACGAGACGCTACGTCGCATGGTCTGTGTCCCCACTTGATGATCTCGTTGGGGTTAGCTTTGATAGCTCGGTGGCGCAGACGATGCTCTAGCAGGACCGATGCATGGCGAGGGGCGATCGCTTTGCTGCCGAAAGATTTGTGCAGCGTCGTCGATCGCGCCAGCTGCGAGCATGCCTACCACACGAGGTTGATGGGATGCGAGCGCCAGACGGAGGTGTGGTACGAGGACGATTCATGAGCTCATGCAGGTTCGGCCCTGGCTGACCCTGCAATCTAAGTCCACCTCCGCACCAATTCCGGGACACGGAGGCGAGTCGCGTAAAAATCCTCGAGCTGGCGATTTGGAGGCAGCGGTCTAACAACGTTGACGATTCTTTTTCGAGGGCGTCTCTTCGGCGAGCGTCGTTGCTGATGCTCGGCGTGACCAAGCATGCTTCCGAAATGCCGTAGCCTGCTGACTCGTGCAGATCGATGAGACCCAGCGCAGGAGAGCAGCGATTAGTGTACTCTCCTAGAGGTGTGGAACAAGCAGATCACCCCAGACCATGGTTGTTGGGTCGCCTGTCCACGCAATAGGAAGTCGCAACTCATGACTGAATGCACACAGAACTTCCAATGGCGCTGCAAGTACCGCGCGACGTGGCTTGCATCCATGCTCCTCGTGACCCTGGTCCTTGTCCTTTGTTCCTTGTTCCTTGTTTCTGTCCACTGACTTGCACTTGCGCTCGTGGTTTCACAACCCCACGTCCCATCATGCATCGTACAGGTTGCACGACTTGCGGGGACTAGAGCCGGGACAGACGCCTCCATACATTCTGGCATGCCTCATGCTCCATCGTTGGCTCCGCGCACGGTGCCAAGCACGGCCGGGGACGAGTCGGTGAATCGTGATCGATTCATGATCTGTGGTCAGTGATCCGTGATAGCTCCCGGGCGTGTAAGCCTTCCCGTCCACGATACATGCGAGTAGGCGGGCCGCCATCTGCGGGTCGCCCCATACGACAACACACCATTCCGTGAGGCACGCTATTTGGCTCGTGACTGACGTCTTGTTCTGAACGACTCGGGGAAGCATGAAGGATGCATGGCGACTCATGGCTTCATGATTTTCACCTCGAACACAAATTCGTGAATCCTGATTCCTTCATATGCTTGCCTGTCTCCGCCCACTCGCACTCGTGCTATCTCCATCCGCTCGTAACTCGTGACTAGAGAATTGTGACTTTTCGGGATATGACTTCTCGCCGTGAATGGCGCCGACAAAGGTGCACCGCAGCGCATTCCATCCTGAACACAAACCGGGTGCATAGAGCCCTCGCAGCTCCTCATCAACCTGGAGATGTGTGGTGATTTCAGAATACAACCCGCTCTCGCTGGCCCTGAGAGATGGTCTTGTGACCGCCCCGTGGCCGGGCGGCACCACAACGTGCGACGCTGTATGCGTCTGTTGCCCTTCTGCGACAGGCGTCTCACTCAGATTCTGAAGAAGCGTCAACTCGCGAATACCGGCAAGGCATGAGGCAGCAGCCAGGCAACCTGGTTGTTCGTCGCCAGCTGCCGTTCGATTTGATGTGACGCATCGAGGCTTCCCGACATGAGTCTGTAATTTTGATGGCATGGATCACGGACAATAAATCAAGCATGTCGGCCAAAAAACGGGGTGAACCCAAGCGCTTGGCAATCACCCATCCGCGATCTAAGCCCCGAATGATGAATGCACTGTGCCACTTAATTTTGCCTAAGCGAGTGGCCCATCGACGGAACCGGCCCAAGAGTGAAACGAAAATCACGAAAATTGTGCGATCATGTGATGCTTTCGTTTCGTGCTCCTGGTGGCATTGTGAGCTCGAAGGGGATCTCGATGCCGTCATTATAGTAATCATAACTAACCCTGACCCCCTGTGTAGCCGCTTTGTGCCATTTTTAATCTGCCTTGAGCGCACATATACCGGTCAAATTCTCTTTAATTCCAACTATGGCAAAAGGCGCCCAGACTGCGTTGTCTAAGCTGAAACTGTCCCTCCAACGTATTTCGTGATTTACGTTTTCGAACATGCATTGCTCAAGAAGCGAACGCAGTCGCGACATCGTGAATTCACGAACGATGGCCAGACACACCCAGCGGATCAATCATGCCGCATGGAAATCCCTTCCCTGACCGCGGATTTGCAGAGAGGACCGGCGAGAACCCGATAGGTCACGCATCTTGTACAGATTCCACACCGCCTGTCTTCTTTGATGGGGTACTCTGCGCTCGCCGCTGTCTCCGAAAGCATGTAAGCAACAATTAAGGGCAACGTTCCGCTGGATCCAGCAGCCTAAAGCATTTTGCGTCCGAAGCTACATCCAGTCGAAATGCGCAATTTTTTTCAAGTGCCTTGGTCCCCGTCGCTGCCGCTATCGTCGCATGCAGCAACACTGAGACTGACGTCCCACGCGCTGCAGCTGCCCCGGCTGCCACCACCAATGCGGCGCTCGTGTCAGAATGACACCCTAACGGGTGTGTCTCTACAAGAAGTATCTTTGGCAAATTGTATGTCACACCTTGATGCCGAATCTTGCGCATTCAAGGATGAGACCTGAGATATTTTGTGGAACCCTACTTAAGTTAGCTTATGTAAGGCCGAAACAAGTAAATCACAATAGTAGTCAAGGTATTTTATCAAGCACTGTCATTTCGGGGAACAGTCCCTTTTAGAAATCGGTTTCTTGAAGAATCAGAGATCACGCAAGTTGCTTCCACAATCATGATACGCGCTGATACTTTTTATTTGCAGACCGTAACTGCATTCAACTTGGCAGATTGCTTCAATTAGGGAATCTTGCTGGTGTGCCTTTCAGTCCGAGCTCAACGACGTTGCTCCTTCCAACCACGAGTTCAGCACTGGTGCTCCTTTCCCACGCGTGCTCGTCAACAACGCTGCATCCGAGTACGAGCCAAACGATGAAGCTGCATCCGAGTGCAAGTTTAGCACTGGTGCTCCTTCCCAGCACGAGTACGATTTCATCAATTCGGAGACGCATGAGCCCGTCATTATTTACACTGATTCGGACTTGCCACCGACACCATCATCCCAACCGACGATACCGAGTCGGCCTGCACGCGTAAGCACAGCATCAAAGTGTCATGCTGAACGTTCGTGATAATTTGTATGGTCTTCAATTTCCTCTGTCAAAGTTATCAAATCATTTGGGACCTTGTGGTTGTTTATTAAAATCCGCACTGAGCATCAAATCGAGGATTATGTGAAGCTTCTGAAGAGTCAGTCGTGCATGTTGCGCAAAATCATGAATTTGTTTTATTTTCAAATCTGGTAAAATTGTCGGAAGTGCCCTTTGATCGCAGCAATCATTTGTTTTACTGAATTTTGCATAACTGATCGCACCAGAATGGTTGACGCATTCCATGCCCCTGACGTCAGAATACAGTCCGTGTTCATAACATATGATCATGACTGTGGTCCATGCTAGCATCAACTCCTTCATCATCGATTAAATCAGCAAACAAAAACAAAAATCATGAATATTTTCGAAAGGCTATGGACTTTGACTCGGTCATGAAACGTCAACTCATTGGAATACGGCGCGAAATGGACATATCATCAACATTGCATAATACAGCATATTCTTCGCTCTTCTTTACGTAGTTGACTTGTTCTGTCTAACAAATTATTTGCGCACGTCGGTCACGACCAATCAATTGCATTTGTTTCAGCTAAATACATGTGATTACCTATCGGTTCGTGCTCATGATCGGTCATTACTTGTCATAAGAGCATCACGCAGCTTACGTGAGTGGTCATCATATCTTCCCAAAAAAGGAGAGGAACGTTTCGCAAAACGTGAGGGCTTCCCCTCGGGGTGGCTGAGAGGAAGTTGGACTCGTAGCTACTTCGGGTAGGCAGACATGCACCACGAGCGAGGCGGTCTCGTATGCCCCGCGATTCATGCATCTATACCCTGAAGGAACGCAAACTGGCAACTCATGAAAAGAAGACAGGCATCAGCCAGCTAATGCAGCCACGCACGCGTATCGCGCGTCAAAGGTTCAGGGCTGCTAGCTGGCTGCTCATTGCGAGACCGTTTCTTGAGGATACGATAGTGTGTGCGTCATCAAGCACGAAGGACGAAGAGTCACTACTGACCGGACTCATACTTCCGACTCACACATGCACATCACATGTATTATTCGGCAAGGTATATCCTGAGAAGTGACGAGCAGCAAAGGTGAGTTTCGCTGCCCGCCCACTCGTGACTATCTCCTCAATTTTGTGAGGGTCATGGTGAAGAGTGGACGGGCTGCATCACGCACAACTCTCGTTCCTGGGACGCGGAGCCTGGCAGTAAATCATGAATCCTACATGCTTTGTATGCATCGTACATGGCGGACTGTAAAATGCCAAGATGAATCACATGGACCCACGACTTGTCCCGGCTTCCATGCCTCATGTTCCGCCATGCATGATCGAAAGAACATGAATGCTATGCTTTGAATTGACCTTGCAGGCTGTTCATTCTTCAGCATTGCCCACCGCCCACCCACATTTTCTCTCAGACGGCTTCTCGCGGCCAACACAAGACCTGCTACTCCAGACTCTCGTGTCTACAAAGTTGTACAACACGATTTCGATCAGATCTGCACGTGTTATTCGTGATCACTTGCGCAGCGAGCATGAATGACTTCATCCTCACATTCCATATTCGAGAGCTGCTTCATAGTGGAAGCGCTGAATTTGTGACGAGAGCTGGGAGCGAATGGGGGCTCGAGTCGCCAAGATTCCGGAGACAATCACGGCTGCTTTCTCTTTGTGACGGCTAGGCGTCTTTCATCCCCGATGGGACGGGGCAGCTGTCGCTTTCAAGCCGAAGCCACGAGTGACAGTGAGAGGGCGCAGAGACGTCCATCCCAATGATGAATGTGGGAGGAGAGGCCAAAAGAGACAGACAGACGCTGTATTAGTGAGCCGCCACGACGATTGTACGGACAAAATCGCGAATCCTAGCGGAGACGGCGCTTACCTTCTCCTCGGACGGAGCATCCATTCGATTTTGCGGCTGGTTGAGACCAGGGTCCACTGCTCTGCTATCGGCTTGCCAAGGTCCATGAGGATGATTGTGGAACTGGCTTGCACTCCGGTCCGTGGGCGGTGCACATGGATCCGTGTGGAAAGGGAGGTCGCCGAGGGCTGCAGGGCTGGCGAGAGACGCGGTGATGCGACCGTTGCCAATTGCGAAATTGTCGAGAGCCAGACGGGCCAAGGAAGCGCTCGAGCGACAGCAGTAAACAACAAAAGCTTGGCTGGCGATCGACGAAGGATGACACTGTGCAGAGTGAAGCAGATACTGCACGTTTCCGAAGGGCTCGGTCAGAGCTCTCACAGCATCGGAAGAGGGGAAAACGGCTGTGTCGAGTCCGGAGAGTTTGAGAACAGCCTCGTGCTCTCCCTGCTGGAAACTTTGGCCCGCTTCTCGGAGGGGCTGTTCGGAGTGAGGGGCTGAGACGGGCGTGTCTGTTGGCTGTGAGCTTTCACGAGACTGCGTATGGATGAGGAAATGCGAATCAGCACGGTTGAGCCGGAAGCTTGCACTTGCGAATGAAGGGCCGCACGCTTGGAGTTCTGAACTGACCTGTTGGGGCAGCTTCGGTCGGCGAGGTGGCTCTACAGCATCCTGAGCCTCGTGAGGGAAGGGCGTGCCACTCCTTTGCACGATGGCGAATGAGACTTCGATGCGGTAGCGATGCCAGGAATGGCCGTTGAGGTTTTCGATGGCGGCGCGCGCTTCATCCGGGCTGGACATGAGGATGAAGCCGCGTCGTCGCGCGAGATGGTCGAGAGTGGCGAGGATCACCGCATGCTCGACGTGACCGTATCGGCTGAAGAGGGCCTCAAAGTGGTCGGTGGTAGCGTCGAGTGGGAGATTCAGGACGTAGAGATTGCGCAAAGCACGATCGCGATCAGGCCTCATTGGTATGCAGCTATCGAGGATCAGAACCGGGATGACGGCTCTTACGAGGCAATGGAAGCGCTCACGAGATGCAGGAAGGGTGCGAGAGAAGCGACGAATGGGAACAAGGCTTGGACCTGCCGACTCGGGACGGGGGAAGGAGAAGGGGCGAGCGAGGGCACAGGACGCCCGAAACCCAGGCTGCCCCCGTGCATCGCGAAAAAAGGCCTCGTCGCCACGCATACATGCAACTCAGCACAGCTCAGGCCAGCATGGCCGTGCGTCTGGCACACCGCACTACCGTTCGTCGCTGACTCATTTGCGCGACAGTCATTGCGCAACCGAGCCTCCCACCCTTCAGGCTGCTGCAGCGGGCAGCGTTGCTGTCTGGAGCTGCGCTCTTTCGCTCGTTGGCTACGGCGAGAGAGCACTAGCCTAGCGAAGACTTCTAACTGCGAACGCCGAACAATGACAGCAGAAGAGACTGAGAACTTTCCGTGGCCAGGCCTTGTACCCCGCATCACCTGTGGAAGCTCCAGCCGCATACTATCAGGTGGCACAGGACATGCGATTGCAAATGTTGTTGTCGAGCCGTGTGCCATTCGGACGGGGCACGATTCGCCCGAACAGAAAGTGACAAAGGATTGGACGCGCGGTTGCGAGCAAGGCTGTTCGGGAACAGCAAAATTACACAAAATCAGCCAATGTTAGACTGGAGCAGCATCTCGCTTGTGCCATCACAAATTGGCCCACTCTTCGGAATGATGACCAGATTCGCTGCGACAGAACTTCATGTCTGATTCCGGCTTCGACCTAACTCCTTCCCACCCGACTGTCATCATGCATTTTCGCTCTCATTCGTGATATCGTCCCACACACAGCGCAGACCAGCCGCCGAGCAGCTCAACAGAATACCGGGGAGCCTCGTCCCGGACGACATGCTGGATCTCGGGGCTGATAGAGCGGCCCCAGAATGTAGACAGCTGCCTCGGCTCTGGACCTCGAGCGGATAGGTCCCCTGGCCTCGCAATGACAACGGATGCAGCCACGACGCCTCGTCAGACAGCAACGCCGACCAGTGACCGCGCTCTCATGCCGACGGACGATGCCATCGACGACGCTCGCATGCACTCCTTGCGGATCTCCTTGGAGGATACGGTCGCAGCTCGGGCAGCAAGAACATCGAATGACGAGGTCGAATCAGACCAATCTGGTCACGCTGCTCGTCCTGCGCTCAAGCATGACCAGCTTTCGTCCGAGGATTACGTAGAGCTGACCCGCATCTCCCACAAGAAGGACGACATAGAGCGTCACATAGCCGACCTGCAGAGCTGGTCAGCTTGGGATCCTTTCTTGGAGGTCGCATCGTATTCAACCGAGCCTCAGGTGCTTTTAGCAAGTAACTCTGCGCTCGGACGACTCAGCTCAGAGCTCGAACTCCGCCAGGGCAAATGCGACCGTCTCGAGCACGACGTTCAACGATTCAACGTGGACGATATGAAGCGACTGCGCAAAGTTGCAAAAGCCACCTCCAAGCGACACCTCTCTGGACCCGACACCGACCTGCTCGAGCTAGCTCTCTCCACCATTTACGCGCTCGACAAGCTCCTGCGGCTGTTGCGCGACCAACGCGCCGAGCACGAGCTTACAGAGCTTCGACTGCGATGGGAAAGGGCTCTCCTGGCGAGCTGGCAAGACGTTGCAGCCCTGCGTAGCGATATCCAAGCCTTTGTCCGAAAGTGCCGAGGCCTCAAAGAGGCACTGCTCCACAGTCAAGACGGCCACACGACGGACGCAGCGCTGCTTCAAAGCAACGAGACCCTCAATGTGGACGAAATCCCGACTACTTCGAACCAGGCTGCAGCCGAATCTGCAGCACACCACCCGTCAGGGGCCGGAAAGCGCACAGAAGTGCCTACGCCCGCTCTCAGGCTGGCAGCAGAGTCTGTCAAGTTAGAGTCGTCCCGCCTCGTCCTCCGCGTCAGGAGCTTCGATGCGGAAAAGGTCCGCTATGCCGGAAGGCTGCTGGATCTCCTCATCGATCACAGGCAGGTGCCAGAGAAGCTATTGGACGAGCAGGAGAAGTTGGAGGACGCCTTGATGCGGCCAGCGGCGATAGAAGCGGAAGCTGCGAACATAGCGACTCTGCTCGAGAAAAAGACCTCAGGACATCTACCCGGCTCGTCCTCGACAACAGATTTGAGCGTCAAGCCTCACCGTTCAATCTCTGAACCTCTCGAAACACCCCGTCGCCGGGAAGTACGTGAGATGCGCAGCACAAAGGACGAGGTCTCTCCGAGCGTCGCCTCTAGCTCTCGCACCCTGCACTCGAAGCGTCTCACCGGGGCATTTTCAACGCCATCGCCAAAAGCGACGCGGGACGCCGGTGTCAATCGATACCAAGCCGATCCTCGGAATAAGCTGGACACCGCGATCGGCCGCATCGTCAACCGTCTACCGATGCCCGTCTCGATCATATCGGTTCAAGCCGCAAATCGCAGTGCCTCGTCTGCCGCCAAGGATGAGAAAGACATCAGCGGCCGATATTGGATCGGTGATCCTGAGCCGCGGCTTTGTTTCTGCCGCATCCTTCCTTCACGCACGGTCATGGTCAGGGTTGGAGGTGGCTGGCAGGAGCTGTCCGAGTTTTTAACGCAGCACTACTCGCATCTGAGTCTCCCAAACGGCGAAATGCATTCGGCCATGCTGAGTCCTTCCAAGGGCCATTCGGCGTCGAGCCTGGCGTGGCTGCGATCTGCTTCCGGTCCGGCAGGCTCTCCGGCTGCAAAATCGGTACTGTCCATGGGATCGCACCGGTCGAACACGTCTGCTCGCAAGAGTATATCGCCGCGAGTCTCCCGAGTCGTCACAATGCCAGTGGACTTGATGAGGCACTCGGCCAGCAAAGATGGAGGCGACAAACTCAAGCGCCAGACCTCCAACGGAGCGCTCCGTCACCGCAGGGTCGACTCTGGGGAGGAGATCGGCCCGTCACCGGACGCAGCCGACAGCATCCTCACTAGCGGATCGCAGTCGTCCATCGTCATCCATCCTTCGTCTCCATCTTTGTAGCCTAGAGAGTCCCAACGATGTGGTCCAGCTGCAAGCGGCTCTTGCAATCTTGTCTCTGAATGCTTCGCCTCGAATGGCAGCCCCCGACCGCAACGACTCATTCGGACCAACGTCAACGGCCCGACCGCAGCGGCATCAGGTCCATTTTTGTCGTGTGATACATACGCGAAGACTGACGCGCGAGCGCAAAGCCCGGGAAACCAACGTGCACGCACGCAGAGTCCACTTCCCAATCACAATTCCCCATCGAGGCAGCATATATTCATGATTATGCGGGGTGCATTCATTCGTGACTCACCCTTCCACCGCTGAAGAAGCATGATTTTCGCGGCGTGCAAGAGCCATATCATGTATCGCGATGGAGTGGGGTGCAAGCCGAGCAACTGGAAGGCTTCACGCTTCGTGTTTAGGCTCGAGTCTGGCTCGATTTTGGCTTCGAAACGATGCATGCACCCTGGATGGCGAGGCGAAGCCCGATACATTCGGACCGACTTGCTCTGACCAACGTGCGAAGCCAGCCGCTGTAGTAAGCAGACCGAACGGGTCCAACAGGGCACACCGGTTGGCTTTTGGAGGAAGCTGCTTTCACGATCCGAGGCCTCTTCATGCATTTTGGTGGAGGAAAGAAGTCACGATCAAATTAATGCCTTTTCCCTCCACCTCATATTCAGGAACGGGCGGACCGGAGCGCCTCGGACCGGTCGTGGATTTTGAGTCCAGAAATCAATCAGCAGGGTCACCCCCGCGGGGACATTTTTCCGTATACCCATGACTGCTCGAGTGCCTGAATCTCCGTCGGCTCCGCTCCGAAGCTCCGTGCACCCATCTTCGTTCTCGGGGATGCGGGGTTCTTGTGTGGAGCTTTTCATATTTGACGAGCCTCTTCATGCTTTCTGGCCTTCATCATCCCCACACGCACACCACTGTCCTCCATATCTGACTGCAGAGCTCGAAACAATGTCATCCAACGACCACATTGAAAGCTACCCGCGCCCGGGCAAGACTGCGATCGTGTAGGTGTGCTAGCCGCTGTGTCCAACTTGACTTGGCGCATAGCTGACGGACTGATCTTTCGCTTTCTGTATCGTCGCGGCTCCGAACAGTACTGGTGGATCGTCTGGCGTGAGTGCGAATAGCAGGGGATCATGTGCTGGACCCGATGTGCTGACTGTGTCTCAAACTCTCATGCGTCTCTAGCTTGGCCGCACAAGCGCCATTGCGCTCGCGCGTGCTGGATGGAACGTAACCGTCACGGGCCGTCGCGAGACTGAGCTTCGTGAGTCGTGCGACAAGATCGACGCCGCCTCTGGCCGTTCCTCCTCGCACTACGTCGCCGGCGACATCACCAAGGAAGACGTCGTTCTGCGCGTGTTCAAAGAGACTGCCGAAAAGTTCGGTCGGATCGACCTGGTGTTTTGCAACGCCGGCATCTCTCCACCAAACGTCCCCTTGGCCGAGCAAAAGCTGTCCGACTGGCAAGCTACGGTCGACGTCAACCTGACCGCTGCCTGGCTGTGCGCGCGCGAAGCCTACCGCTACATGGAGAAGCAAACTCCCCAGGGAGGCAGGATCATCATCAATGGTAGCATTAGCGCCTATGCTCCCCGTCCCAACTCGTCGCCTTACACCGCGACAAAGACGGCCATGACCGGTCTCACCAAGTCGCTCTCGCTCGACGGAAGGAAGTTCAACATCGCAGTCACCCAAATCGACGTTGGAAACGCCGCATCAGAGATGACTGCAAAGATGAAGGAGGGTCCAGGCGTGCCTCAGGTAAGCCCTCACGGCCTCACGCGATTGCAGAGCAAAACACTGATCCCCTTTGCTTGGAATAGGCCGACGGATCCATGCGCCACGAACCGACAATGGACCGTGAATGGTAAGATCACGCAACCCCAGCCTCAAACCACCCCGTCCGAGTGTACTCACACCCACTTTGCTCTCCAAAACAGGGTCGGCAAGGAGATCGTCCACATCGCAGAAATGCCCCTCAGCGTCAACAGTGAGTTCCAGATGTCGTCCAACTTGGCGTTCAAACATTGCTGACACCCTCTCTGCTTTGCTCAACAGTCGGAAACGTCGTCATCCAGGCCACCAACATGCCCAGCCACGTCGGCCGTGGCTGAGGCCGAGGCGTCGCTTCACCCCGCATTCCTTTGCTGGAAAGATGGATCTGGATTGTTCCTGAAAAGCGATCTCGCGTGCACAGTTTGGTCGTGAAATGCAGTGAGCGGTCTCATTCTTCTTCGCCTGTAGGATTGCCACGGACGGGACGTAAAGAGGTCAGTCGGATGTCTGCCATCATATAGGGGAGAGAGTACGCACCTTCGAGAGCCTCTGGCAGCTGAATCCGCTTGCCGCGGCGCCACCATCGCACAGCAAACACCGCCAGGCTTGCCACCGCTCCGGTAACAGCCGCACACAGCAAAGCGATCCATCCCCCTGTACCGAGCGCAAAGTCAATGTCAGTTTACGATCGTCTGCAAGCTGGCGACGGGCGACACTTACATCGATAGAACCAGCCCGGCTCGTACGGCGTGAGCACAGCATCGATCTGGAACACTCCACCTGCTGGCGGCCTAATGATGCGCACATCGCCGCGAATACCTCTCGCCTCTCGTCCAAAGGCCGTAACGACGGCCGAGTGGGCATCGGACGACGAGCCGCGTGTATTCTTGATGCCTACAATCCACCCGAGCCCCTCATCGGGCTCGCCGTCGCTGAGTGCTCGCTTGTACCGACTCGTGCGCGGATCGGTCCTGCGGAAGCTGACCTGGCCGTAGGCGCTCGGACCACCGTTGGTGCGGTCGAGCAGAGTGGCGTACGAGCTCTCGTCCTTCATCTCGATGCCGTCACCACGTCCGTCTGGCAGCAGCTCGTCTACGCTCTTGTCGTCGACCAAAGGAATGAGATGCTGCTGCACCAGCCTCACGAGACGGTCTTGGTCGGCAAGCACGGCTGTGAGGTTGACCTTTGTGAACGCGCTATCCGTTGGCACCAGTACGAGGAAGCCCGAGGTGGAAGCGACGCTCTGATTCTTCGGGATGGTGCTGTTGAGAATGTACTCGTAGCCTGCTTGCACCATGAGGTCCTCCATGGTGTCGGCTTTCGCACCTTTGAGCAGGTCGCGGATGGTGAGATCGAAGGGGATCTGAACGCGGTCCACCTCGTGAATCACGCCGGTGTTGGTGAGGATGTCGCCCTTGATGACAAGAGAGGTAGTGCCGTTTGGATCGCCCGCCTGATGCACGGCGATGGCGCCACCCTTCTGCCTGCGAATGGCCAGCTTGGCGCCGAGCGTGGGCAGCAGGGTGGGGAACTCGGCTTCTTGATCCGTAAAGTCGGCCTTGTAGGCGATCCTGTCGATGGCGTGATACTCGACCAGAGCCTGGAGCAAATGTTGCGACTCGGGGAGCAGCAAGTAATTCATGGCGAGGCCCAAGCCAGTGAAGGCGTCGTTGGTGGGGACGAGGTAGCTGACGCCCGGTGCGCGCTCCACGGCCTTTTTGAGATCTGAGCTGAACACGGTGGCAACAAAGGTGGAGAGAGACAGGTAGGAGACAGCTGTCTGGATGGGGTCGGACGGCGGCTGGAGAAGCTGCGAGACGACATAGATGACGGCGGAATCCTTGACCTCGACGGGCTCGCTGATCACGTTGGCATCGCCGAAAGCAACGTCGCCGTTGCCGCGCGTCTCGGAGGCGGAGGTGTCGTCGACCTGGACGGGCATCTTCTGCCTTCCCTCTCTGAGCTTCCAATCCTGCAGCTCGGTGTTGAGCAGCATTCCGCTGGTGAGATTAGCCGGTCGGATCTGTCCGGGCAGAATGTGGTAGCGGACGACTTCCTCCAACGACGGGCCTTTGCGGTAACTGCCGAGCGAACGTGTCGTATCGGGTGCGTAAGGCGCAATGTGCGGATGGCGCGAGTACCACGAGTCGATGACGTCGTCGCGGGGAGCGAGGAAGGTGAAGGGGTCACCATCATGGCGCTGAAGATGAGCTGGCTTGTTGATGTAGTGCTGGAGGCCTGCTTCGTAGACGAGGTCTACGAAGCGCGTGGCGTTGAGCGCGAGGAGGGTGGCCTCGATGCTCATGTCGAGATCGCCAAAGGGCAAGATGAGGTCGTCGATGAGGTGCACGACGCCGTTCTCGGTGAGGATGTCCTCTTGGACGATGTGTGCGTCCATGACCTTGATGGAGCCGTCGTCTTGATCGACTTCGATGGAGACGGAGCCGCCGAGGGCGGTGGCCAAAGTGGCGCGACCGGCTGCTCTGAGCGCTGCAGAGTAGACGGGGGAGCGATCGCCAAAGCCGCTGCCGCAGGAGTGCCAGCCGAGGAGCTTGAGACGGTCTAGAGAAGCCTGTTCGAAGTCGCCGAAGAGATAAGCGGACTCGAGCGCGCTGAGCTTGTCAAATGCTTGCGATGTTGGCATGAAGAGGGTGAGATGCGGCACGGTGGAGAGGGTATGCAAGGTGTCGTTGTTCATGAGATGGCGCACGCTTTCGAGACCAGGATGGGTTGCGATGACGTGCTCCAACGACGGTGGCAGGCTGATGACCGAGTCGATGTGATGAATGACGCCGCTCCTGGACCTCCAGTCCTCAAAGATCGACATTGCGCCGCCGCGGCCCTGCTCATCCGCGCCAAAGTAGAGGCTGGGCTGTTTCTGCTTGGTAGAGCTTGGATCTGACTGCGACTTTTTGTCCTTGCGATTGACCAGAGCGATGCGCATGCGCTGACCTTGGTGTCCGAGCAAGCCGCCGTGATCCTCCTCGTCGGGGACTGGGACGCGGCCGGGATGGGTGGGCTCGGTGAGCATTCTGCGCGATGGAAAGTGGAGGGTGGTGTGCATCTGCGGCTTTCCAGGCTGCGGGAGAGGATGGTCAGGCGCATGTGAGCCAGTGTCGTCGCTCAGCCCAAACGGCAGTGTGTAGTTCAAGACGTGATAGAGGAGATGCTGCCTTGCGACGGCGTTGACGTTGCTTGCCTGGATACAGATG